GTGTTAAAAAGAATATTTTGGGAAATATGGTAGCTCAAAATTCGATTTACGGTTGGTACATTTATGGTCCAATTTCAGCAAACGAACTCTGTTTGGCTACATTAGAGATAAAAATAATGCAGAAGATGATATTAGTTCAGCATTAAAGAAATTTTGGGAACAAGAAGAAATCAGTAATGTTCCGATTGCTACAGAAGAAGCCGACAAGTACTAGAGAAATTACAAATGATGGAAAATATTTTTCGTACTATTTACCACACCATGCTGTATTTCGCCCAGAAAGTACTAGCACAAAAGTGAGAGTGGTCTTTAATGGATCGAGTAAAACGAAAAGCTCGTATTCTTTAAATGATGTGTTGCATACAGGCCCAATATTGCAAAATGATCTAGTGTCGGTAATATTGAATTGGCGCTTGTATAAGTATGTGTTTAACGGTGACATAGAGAAAATGTATCGACAGATATTTGTGCATCCATCTGATCGGCAGTATCAAAGAATATTATTCAGAGAAAATGTTCATAAAGAAATTAAAGATTATGAGTTATGCACAGTCAAAAGCATCCCATTGCATCAAAAATAATAAAGAATGAGATATATGTTGATGATGTTTTGACTGGAGGTCATACAATTGCTTCAGCGCTAGAGGCGCAAAAACAATTAATTGATACATTGCATTCGGCAGGGTTTCCGTTAAAAAAGATGACGGCAAATCATCCGAGTTTGCTTTTAAATGTCCGATCAGAGGATTTATTGAATGATGAATTTTTGAGAATTGAAGATATGAGTTCAACTAAAACATTAGGTATTCGGTGGAATGCCATTACGGACTCATTCTCATATAATATGAAATCACTAGAGGTGATTGGCCCTATAACTAAAAGGAAAATCTTGTCAACAGTTTCAAAACTATTTGACCCAGCAGGTTGGTTAACGCCTATAATCGTACAGGCAAAAATTTTGTTGCAAGACCTTTGGTTAGAAGGCATTAACTGGGATGATAAAGTTTCTTCATCCACTTTTATTAAATGGAAGAATTTCGTTGATCAATTTTCAAAAATTGATTCAATACAAATCCCAAGATGGATAAATTATTGCCTAGAGGGCACAATTGAGTTACATGGTTTTTGTGATGCATCAGAGAAAGCATATTGTGCTACATTATACATTCGTATGAACACAGAGACTAGCACAACAGTAAGATTATTGATTGCGAAAAGTAAAGTTGCTCCGTTAAAAAAAGTAAGTTTACCGAGGCTAGAGCTTTGTGGTGCCGTATTGCTCTCTGCTTTGGTAAAATATGTTGTCTCCAATTTAAATATTAAAGATTATTCTGTGAATTTGTGGACAGATTCTACAATCGTATTGGCATGGTTGCAAAAACATCCGTCCACATGGAATACATATGTTGCAAACAGAACTGCAATAATATTTCAAAATGTTGAAAACGCTGCATGGAGACACGTATCTACAAAATGCAATCCAGCAGACCTTGGAACTAGAGGTTCCAGTGCTGAAGATTTATGCAATAACTCGCTATGGTGGAATGGTCCAATTTGGTTACTTAGTCCAGCAAATAATTGGCCAAAATCAAATATAATTTTACAAAATCCACCAGAGCAGCGAAAAGTAGTTGCATATTGCGCACCAATTATTGATGATGATAATTATATAATAAAGAAATTTTCGTCTTACAACAAAGCATTGTGGGTTGTAGGATATATATACCGCATGAAAAACCGTCAAAGAAAAAATGAAAAATCAGAGTTGTCAAATGGGAAAATTCTATCTCACGAAGAGTTAAACCATGCAAAACTGGTTCTTGTCCGAATAACCCAAATGTTTCATTATCCGCAAGAATATAATGATTTAAAAAATTCAAAAGAAATTTCACGCCAAAGTCCACTGCGCGCACTTAATCCATTTTTGGATAAAGATGGCATAATAAGAGTAAATGGTCGTTTGGCTTATGCTAATATTTCATATGATGAACGATTCCCGATAGTATTACCAAACTCATCGCATTTTTGTAAAATATTTTTGGAGTTCATTCATAAAACAATGCTGCATGCAGACATATCGTTAATGATGTCAACCGTTCGAAGCCAATTTTACATTCCAAGTTTAAGACGCTCAATAAAGAAAGTTGTAAATGGTTGTATTGTTTGTACAAGATATAAGAAAAAATTAAAAAGTCAAATTATGGCAGCACTGCCATTAGAAAGAACCACTCTAACTTTGCCATTCACTTATGTAGGAGCAGATTTTGCAGGTCCATTTCAGATAAAATCTGGGACATTAAGAAATTCACCGTATCAAAAGTCTTACGTGTGTATATTTGTATGTTTTGCAACAAAGGCAGTTCACCTAGAGCCATGTTCAACATTATCTACCGAATCGTTTTTAGCTACATTTACAAGATTCATTGGTAGAAGAGGGTTGCCAAAATGTCTTATGTCCGATAATGGAACAAACTTTGTGGGTGCCAATCGTATTCTTATGGCAGAGTATCAAGAATTTATCAAAAAGTCCTCCAAAGAAATTTCAGAGAAATATGTTATCAATGGCTTCGAATGGAAGTTTATTCCTCCTAGCGCCCCACACATGGGAGGACTATGGGAAGCAGGAGTAAAATGTTTCAAGGCACATTTCAAAAAAGTAATGAAAGATAGAAAATTTAATTTTGAAGAGTTTTCCACAATATTGGTTAGAATTGAGAGTGTGTTAAATTCGAGACCTTTGACACCATTGTCGGAAGATCCAGAGGATTTGGAGGCTTTAACACCAGCGCACTTCCTGAGAGGTGGATCCCTAATATTTGCTCCGGAAATGCCACTAGACGATTTATCTCTTATAAATCGATGGGAAAAGGTTAAAGTTCTTCATCACACATTCAGCAAAAGATGGAAATCTGAGTATATCCAGGAACTCCACAAACGCTACAAATGGCAGTATCCCCAGAGGAGTCTGAAGGAAAATGACATGGTTCTGATAAAAGATGAACTTCTACCACCAAATGACTGGAAGATGGGACGAGTTTTAAAAGTATATGAAGGGCATGATGACCACGTAAGAGTAGTTGATGTAAAAACTACTACAGGTATCATATCTCGTCCTATTGTTAAATTGTGTGTACTTCCAGTAAATGGTTGTTAGTAGAAAGTTGTATATGTGTTTTTAAAATGATATGACTCTGACTAATATATGATGCCTTAAATGGCACACATTTCTTGCAATTTTTTCTTTTAATATATATTACAGTTGTACAATCATGAACATGGGACAAATTGAAAAATGCAGAGTGTGCTTTGGCATTCATCATTTGAGATTTTGTCCATCATTTAGAATGATGTCTGTAGAGCAGAGGGAGGATGTAGTACTATCCCACAAGTACTGCATCAATTGTTTGGGTCACAATCATTTTGTCCGAAAATGCATATGGACCGGAAATTGTCGAATGTGTGGGGCGAGACACAACACCATGCTTCATCGTCCGATGACAACAGCAATAGGGACTCGTGCAAACGTAGTTAGTGCACATGTGTCGGGAGCAAGATTCCACCCATATTCCAACCAAAGGGAATCGCAAATACAGCAGCAACAACAATTATTAATTGGCCTGCAAACACAAGTCAACTCTGCAGGCTCCGGCGCAAAATTTAACACGGCAAGACAACATCAACAAGAGGCGAAAAGGCTCCATCAAGAGGCTAAAAGATTGCAAAGGAAAGCAAAGGAGCATGAGGAGCAGGCAAAAAAATTCCAACAACAAAAAAAGCAACGACAAGCCACACCAGCCAAAACGAAGAAGACAAGCCAGAAACAAACTGAAAATCCCCAACTACAATCAACCAATGAACCACAGAAACAAACACAAAAAGATGAAATAAACACACAATCTCCAGTGCAAACAAATACACATTTTCCAATGACCACAAATTTATTACAACCCGACGGGATGAATAGGTTCTTGGAAGTATTAGAGAGAATTGCGGGCGCATTATCTGTTGCACCAGTGCAAGGGCCCCGGCATGTTGGGAATCAGCCCAACCCATTGGACGATGACATTGAAATGGACCTCATCGATCTCGATAAGTAATTTATCGATGAGGTCCCATCTCCACCAAAAAGAAAATGTCACTCTTCTTCTTGAAGCTGAAATAAGTGGATCGCCAAGATCAAGTTTAAAATCAAAATTTAAATATAATCATTTTAAATAAATAAAAGACCGCCAGAGTCTAAATTTGAATTTGAAATTTATTTAAAGTGTGTTTAATTTGCAGTCAACAAAACGTAAGTATCGTCTGAATACTCGTTGTGTTGTTGTAGTTGCAAATTTATATTGTTGTCCGTCTTGTTCAACAATAATCTTAGATTCTAAAACTACTCAGTAGATTTAGAATCACTACAAGTCCTTTCGACTGCATCGGAACTTGTACATAAATTCCTTTTTTTTAATTGTCAATATAGGCCCATGTTTCGAACATAGTCACAATTTAAAGGTAATTTTGGATCCGCATCAACTCTCAATTAAAAATTCCATACACGATCTATTATTCTGTTTTGATTTTTTCTGTGACTAAACAGACATAAACAAAAACATTCAATTTGTATGGGATACACGAATGTCTAGATATGACTCAATCACATGATTCTCGTTTTTATAAAACTACATTAGTCTCCCACTTTAATGTCATATTTAAAAAAAAAACCAAAACCAAATTGTTTACTTCTTTCTCACTAATTTTTTTATAATATTCATTATATTATATCATACAATATTTAATATTTTCTCATAATTATGTTGCAATTAAAACAACGAACTGACTACCCAATTTGAACCAAACTTTGTACAACCTATTATCTTTACCAAGCCCAGATCATGTGGGATGATGGGACCCATTGGTCCACTCCTTCTGGAACCTGCCCACAAATGTGGTCAATGTTTTCAATATTTATAAATCCAATATCAGGTGAATGGAGTGTCGGATTTGAACCAATCTTTGCACAACCTACTATCTTTACCAGACCTAGATCCGAAAATGGGACCCATTAGTCCCCCACAAATGGTCAATATTTACAAATCCAATATCAGACGTATGGAATGACCGATTTGAACCAATCTTTGAACAATCTGTTATCTTTACCACGCCTACATGAAGTCCCCCACAAATGTTTAATATTTTATAAATTTGTAAATTTAATTTGAAGCGAATTGAATGACCGATTTATACAGCATTAAATACGAATTTCAATTGGCACTTCTTTATTTTTAAATCATTTGGCGCCACCGTCCTTTTCTAAAAATTATTTTATTGTCATGTTCAGTATTCTTCTAGCTCCATGCTAAAACTACCTATATTTTTTCAGTAATATTTATTAAAAATAAATATTTGAGTTTCAAATTTGGGTTAATGATGAAATTGCCTCGAGCTTATAATATTCTCCCATCTTATAATTATCACCGATTTGAAAGCTTCTACTTTTGTAATCCTTTTAAAGCTATACACATAACGTTAAATAAAATATTGTTATTGTTGTGGTAGTTTAAAATCATTGACATAAATCCTCGGCACTCTTCCTTTTTAATCTTCCCCCAAATCAAATCTATGTACTCTCAATGGACCATTGAAATTGACATTTTATTTTTGTCACAATCCCAAAAAATAAAATTGAAGAACTCTTTTTTAAGAAAGGGCTATTGTGATTATCATCAACACTCCGTAGTGCATTATGTATTGTTTTCTATTCAACAATTCTACCTTCATTCTTGGCATACCCTTTACAACGAGAGCGAGAGAGAACAACGAAGGATAGAAAGAAACGAACAAGAGGCAACGATCATCGAAAGAAGGAAACATTTTTACACCTGCTGATGCACAACGCTGGCTACTGACTGCCGATCTGTCGGTATTCTTCCATTAGTTGTTTGACGTTTGTTTCGACGAGAATCGACCGCCGAAAATGAAATCGAAAACAATAAAAGGAAATGTGCACAAAACACAAGACAAGTGGCTGGCATCTTATCGGCCAAAAACCAATGCGTCTTGTTCAGTTTTTCATGCGGCCGCCAATGGCCCAAGAGAGCATAAAAGGCAAGAGAGCCAAAGAGAGTGATTTTGTTGTGTTTTGTTGTTGCCTTCCATTTTAGTTTGATTGTTTTTTCTTTTCTGTTTAGGGCAAATAGTCGGCACAAAGGTTGGCAACAAGCGAAAACAACACAAAGAGTAAACTAAAAACAAACAAACAAAATGAAAACAAAAACAACAATGACGTCGACCAGACACCAGAGAGTGGTTAAACCGGAATTTTTATTTTGTCTCTGTGTTGTTGGTGTTGGTGGTACAAGTCGGTCTGTATGTCTGTCCGTCCGTTTGCCAGCCACTTATTACAGCAACAAGAAATTGAAAAATGGAAGAAACAAAAAACTAAAGAATTTTTCAAAAACAAAATTGAAAAAAAAAAACGAAAAAGGAGTTCTCCTTTAAAGTGGTTGATTGTTTGCTTGAATTTCGAAATGTAATCCAGTAATTGAAGTGTGGAAATACTCAACAGTCAGCCGGTGCAGGTTACAAGAAGACAGGCAAGACGAACTGTTGAGAATTTCGTAAAGGAAATTCTTGAGATTATTTACCTTTATTTTGTCTTAAGCGGAACAAACGGGCGTTATTGGAGTTTTGCAACACTTTACAGACATTGATAATTTTGTTCATGCTTTTTTTGCGTTTCTTTTTTGTCGCTTGCTTCTAAACAGCAAATACTAAGATACACATATTGTGACTTGTAGACACATGGATAATTATCACTTTTTTCTTTCCCAATATTTGTTAAAATATTTTTGATTAACGCCTTTCGGCTGATTGGTGGGCTAGCCAGGCTAAATGCGACTAGCCACCTTAGACTGCACAAACAATCGCACTACACCACACACACAGAACATATATCACTTGTCAAAATCTAGCATTATTCTTATTCGTTAACTTCTTCTTCTCCTCCTCCTTTTTGCACTCTCCTTCATTGATTATTAGACTTTTTCAACGCTATACGTTTGTTATTATTATTATCATTCTAACACAATTTATTATTATTTTCGTTTTCTATTTATTTGTTTGCATATTTTCGCATAACATTTCCTTCAACAGCAACAACAGGCGGCGGCAAAAGCTTGGAAATACACAGTAATAAAGGTAACAACAACAAAACGGCATAAATAAATAAACACACCGTCCAAGTGTATGGAGAGGAGAGACACACGCACGCACTCACGCTCGTACACGTATAGAAAGAACAAGCACAATAAACACGTCTAACCGTCTATACTCAGCGACGAACGGATAATTACTAAAGTGATGCCACAACAAATGGCGTAGCGTTCTCCCTGTTTTTGTGCCGCTTTGGCTGTTGGCTCCCAATAACTACAACAACAACACCGGACAACCCCACAAACAAACAAAAATGTTCTCTCAGTGAAAAGTGATGCCGCGCAAGTTGTGCAGATGTTTAAAAAATTTTAGAAACAACAGAACAATTTCTGTTGTGTTGTTATTTGTATATGCTACTTTATAAACTTTATTATATTTTTATGACATATACACTTTGTAATTCATATAAAAACATTTTTAATAATGCTTTTATTTTATATAATAACAAAAATTGAATTCATCAATAATTTTTTCCGGTACACACAATTTTGCGTTGTTTTGTTTTAATTTTGAGAGTTCTCTCAGTGAAAAGTGATGCCAAGTTGACAGATGTTCGAGAGAGAGAGAGAAAGAGAGAGAAAAAAATCGGAAACACTAGAAAAAATTATAGCATGCAATAGAATTGTATGGCATTGCCAGCTGGAATATATTTCAAAATAAAATAGGTGTATCAAACTGTAATAAATTGTACTGCAGCATATGACAAACACTGTATCCGTTAAATTTTAAACAAAGAAAAGAAATAAAAATAAAACATTAATAAAACACTGAAATAGAAATTATGCATCAACTGAATTTAGATTTATTATTCTAGTCACAAATTTAAATGTTAAAATACTTCTTTAATCCACCCGAACTTAATGCATGCGAATTTAATCTAAAAGTAGTATTGGGTTCAATAAATGTCAAGGCAGAATAACATCGATAAAATAATGATAATAAAAAGGGACATTTACTTTGATGTTTCGTATATGTGAACGATCGAAATTGCGAAAAATATATTTTTTACATTTTTACAAATAGCCGTCTCCTAAGAGTCTTTTTAGGAAGGCATATGTAAGGTGGTTTTTATACCTATAATGAAATTTC